CTCATGTGCCTCTCCTCTTATTCTAAGCTCTGTTCTTTTCTTCTCTTTATACTTTGTATCTTTCCATAGCCTCAACCATCTCAAAAAGTGGGCTGGGTAATTGGCTCTATAGTTAGGAGAAGTTGCTGCTCCTCCAGAAGACCTGAGTTTGGTTCCTAGCACCTACATGGCGGCACATAACCATCTGTAACTCCAGTTCCAGGAGATCCAATACCCTCATGTGGCTTCTGTGTGCACCAGACAGCCACGTGGTCCAAAGATATACATGTAGTCAAACACCCATAAACATAAAATAAAAATTTCCTAAATAGTGTCCCAACTTTCCCCTTCTGGCTATTATTTCCCAGCTTAATTTTATTTCAAAGTCAATCTAATACTAATTCCTTGTCTAATCTCCCCTACTTCCCTTTCACTCCCTACAAATATTTCAGCTGGAACAATATAGCTTACATATTTAAAAAAAATCCAAACAATGAAATAACCTCAGACAAATACATCTCAACACAGCCAAAGCCACACAATTTCGCCAAAAGTTACTAATCCCACAGCAGTTGCCTTCAATGAGAGTAAATTAGATAAAAATCCCAAAGAACTAGAAAGACTAATCATATCTCCAAAGAAATCCAAAAGGAAAATAAAATTCCTGAATGACTTGCCAAAGAACAGCTGAAGTAAAGAAGTTGACACAAAATATGAAAGAGGAATTCAGAACGCAGAAACATTGAAGAAAGACCAGACAAAGAACCTGAAGTCAGAAATAAAAAGCTCAATGGAAAGCCTCACCATGAGGATGATGAAGGAGAGGACAGAGTATCTTGGCTTGAACACAAGATGGAACCTTGGAACAAATAGAAAGAGGTATAAGAATTTTAAGAAATTGGCGCTATTGTGAAAAGGTTAACTCTAAAAGAAAATAATAATGCCATACCAATAGTCATCGTGATGAGATTTCATAAAGGCCAAGGGAGGAATTCCAGGAATTTCTTAACAGTGTTGATGTTGCTGGGCAGTGATGTAGCGTGCCTTTAATCCTAGCACTGGGGAGGCAGAGGTAGGTGGATATGTGAATTTGAGGCCAGCCTGGTCTATAGAGTGAGTTCTAGGACAGCCAGAACTGTTACACAGAGAAACTTTGTCTCAACCCCCCTCCTCCTAAAAAGTGTTGATGTTGACTGAGGGTGGTGACATAACTTAGTTTTTAGAAGTAATGAAGAAAATAGTATGATTTTTGACATTTTATCTAGTCATTTATAGCATCCAAAGAAATTTTTTGCCAGAATTTGACAATGAAGAATACAATACTGATTGCAGATAACTTTGTAAAGGTGTTTATTTAATTATTTTTTCACTACTAAGAAGTAATGTTTAAACCATACATGGTCAAACACACTTTTTAAAGAATATTTTTTAATTCTTTGTAGACTTCCAATCATGCATCCCAATCCCATTCAAGTCCCTGTTCCTCTGCACTTGCAACCACCTCTCCGACCCCCCCCCAAACAAAACAAAACAAAAACCCCACATCTCATCATGGAAGCTGTAGTGTGGCCCAGTGAGTCACAGAGTCTAGCCTCTAATTCATACATCTTTACTCACAAGTGTCCCTTGCAATGAGTCATTAGTCTGGCTCCAAGCCTCTGACTTCTGCTACATTAATGACACTGGGCTCTCACTGGGACTCCTCTTGGATATCTTTTGCTGCCCTGGGTCGTGAATATCCTGCAGCTTTGGACCTGCAGGACCAGCCCCTTGAAGTGTTCTAGCAGTTCATAGATGGGGTGGATATTGGGGTGATCCCGAGCCTAGGTGGTAGTTGGGTTGGTCAGCCTGACATGCCAGCTCTCTCTCATTCTCACTGCCAAGGTGAGCTCCTCAGCACTGCCCAGGCTAGCTCCCTAAATGCCACAGCCAACAAGGGGAGAGGTCGGTTCTCTTGCTACACCAGCTCTACTGTGTTGCCCAGGTGAGGTGCAGGGCCCAGTCCTCTGAGTGCTGCAGCTGGTGAAGGCCAAGGCCAGCTCACCCCCTCTTGTGACCGCTGGGCCAGCTCTCAAGTCTGCCACAGGGGAGGGGCAAGATGTGTGTGTGGGGTGGCATCTCTTCCTCTCCCGTGCTGCTACATGAGAGATGAGCAGTGAGGCCAGCTCACCTACACCCCCACCAGCTCTACTATGCTGCAGCCAGTGAGGGGGGGACCAGCTCTCCCATGATCACCTTCTTGGGTCATCTGTGTCCTGTCTCCCCTCCTCCCTGCCACCCTGCACCCCAACTCTCTATTGTGCTGCCCAGTCAAGCTGCAGGGCCAGCTCCCCCTCCTGCTGTAGGTAGTGAGTGTGAGGGCAAGGGGGAGGGAATCTTTCACACATACCACCAAATGGCAGATGTGTGGGGGGTTATCTCTCCCACTCTCATCCTCAGGGCTGACCAGCAGGATCAGTTCGCTCTGGAATTTACTCTGTAGACCTCAAACTCACAGAGATCCACCTGTCTCTGCCTCCCGAGTGCTGGGATTAAAGGCATGCACCACTGCTGCCACCACCCAGCTAGATGTCCTTGTTTGTGTGATAACCCTGGCTGTCCTAGAACTCACCAGGCTGGTCTCAGACTCACAGAGATCCACCTCTGCCTCCAGAGTACTGGGTAAAGGCATGCCCAGCTGGGAACATGGGTCTCTTTGGGAACAGTCTCTACAAAACTGTTTCAATGTCATTTCTTCAAAGCCTTCCCCGATGTCCTCTCTTGCACAGGGAGCATTCCCACTGAGTTGTAGAACTGACTGTTGGCATACTGTCTCCCTGGAAATGAATTCCTCAAACCATAGAACCCCATCCTGTGCACTTAACTGGAGAGACTACATACAGACTAGACTGCCTGCATAGGAAGTCTGGCTTTGCCTCTAGTGGGCCTGAGACAGGTCTTAGGTACAATTTGCTCATCTACTTTACATACATATTAAGGATACATCATTTTAATACCAAACAAACCAAATAGTCACAGATGAAGTACCCAAACAAGCAAGTAAATAAAAACATATTTATCCAGTTAGAAAAATAACTCATCTCATTACAGTTAGGAGCATGAAAGAAAAACTTCCAGCCCATGAGATGGCTCAGGGCATAAAGGTGCTTAGGGCCAAGCCTGATGACTAAAGTTAGAGCTCTGGGACCACGTGGTAGCAGAGAGCTGACTTCTTCATCATTGTCTTCTGCCCGGAACACCCACTTAGTGGTACATGTGCATTTACAAATACACTCCCAAGGGCACATACATACACATAAATAAATGTAACTTTTTTTTTAATGCTGTCATCTAAAATGAAAATGCTGGATGCTATTTGTGAGGACTCCAATAGGAGACTACAGACATTTTGAAGTTTCTAAGAACATAAGATTTATATTATAAATTACAATATATTTACACTATAAATACACACATATAAATATAAAGGAAAGGTCTCATATTTAAAAATCTTAAGATTCCAAAAGCTTTGTTTAGCTTTGAGATAGGGTCTCACTACGAAGCCAAGCTACACTAGAATTCGAAAACCTCCTGTCTTTATCTTCTGAGTTCTGGCTTAACTGTTGTGTGACAGCACATTTCACTTTCCCCCAAAGAACTTTAGTGTGCCTTCTAGATACTGATAGTTATCTTGTTGGAAATTAACAGTGAATTTTTACGTTCTTTTTTTGAGACAGGGCCTTAGATATTCCCTGTTGGCCTGGAACTCTCTATGACCTTGCTCTGCTTATCCCTCTGCCTCCTGCTCTGGAGTACTGCTGCTCCTGAAGTATAACACCACACACACGATGTATGTGCTGCTGGGATTTGAACACAGGGCAGGCCCTCTTACCAAATGAGCTACATCCACAGACCCCAACACTGACAAATCTTGAAGAGTAGTTGTTCTTCATTAAAAGTTACAGCACATTGCCTGTTATATGTACCTATTAGTTCTTGCCAAATTCTACCATGCCCAATCATTTGTATTTGCAATGTTTCCCCACTGCATGATGTGTTTGAAATACTCCAGTGTAGGCTTGTGGGAGAGTGGGGTGTAAAATGTAGACAGTGCCTTAGTATTACAGACACAGATTGGACCTTACATCTTAAAGGGTGTGTGGAAGGTCAGACCACACTTGGAGTACAAGTGTTTTGTGGCACATACCCACACTCTAGAAGATTTAAATTTTGATACCAGCCTGGGCTACACAGTGCAGGCCTGCCTAAAACCAAAACAAATAAAAAGCATCCAACACAAAGAGTTAACAGGTGAGTTGTAGCCAACTGAAAAAGAGCAGTAAGGTTTCACCAGCTTAAAGGGTTTACAGGATTTACTTTTTCATGACGATGAAAAATTGACATACTGGTTGTCATGATAAAGCATTTCTACCATCAAAAGAACTGAAGCAGCAATGAAGGATTGCCCATCAAGTAAACATGATGCAGAACACGGTAGAAGGCAGGGAGGCCCCTTGATTCAGAAGCAAAACCTGCTGAAGGGAAGGTGCTGCAGCTGCGGTGTCCCCGAGAAAAGAGCCGCGTGGATCTCAGCCTGGGTGGGAAGATGGTTTTAGAGAACAGGAGCGGAAGAGTTTCAGGAATCGGGCCTGGACACGAACGGTGATCAGAGCCGGGGTACAGCAGGCTGGCGACCAGGCTGCTGTCCCTAACCCAGCGGGCCAGGAGAACCACGGTCTTGGCTGTGAGTTTGGGATTTCCACCCCTCTGCAGAGAGAAGAGGGGAAGAGAGGAGAGGAGAGCGCGCAGTGCGCAGCAGCGAGCAGAGGACCGACTCTGGCGGGAAGCCGAGGGCTCCGGGGGAGGGGGGCAGAGAGAGGAGCGGGAAGGACGGCTCTGTTACTAGGCAACACGGCCGGGGCCCGCCTCCCGCTGCCGTTGCTAGGCGACGCCGAGGCCAGGGGGCGGGGGGAGCAGGGCGGCGGAGCGGCCCTACGTGCTGACGCTAATTGTATATGAGCGCGAGCGGCGGGCTCTCGGGTCTCTTTTAGCGCCATCTGCTCGCGGCGCCGCCTCCCGCTCCTCCCGCCGCTCCCGCCGCCGCCCTCGCCCTGAGTCACTGCCTGCGCAGCTCCGGCCGCCCGGCTCCGCGCCCGAGCCTCCTGGAACGGTAACGGCAGGGACGGGGGAGAGGGCTCGGAGCCTGCGAGGTGTGCGTGCGGGGCGGGCCGGGTGACCGAGGCCGTGCGGTGCGGCCTGAGGGGCCGCGGGGCGAGGCCGCGGCGGCGTGGAGGAGGACGAGCGGGAGGATGAGATGAGGAGGCCACGCCGCGGAGCGCATGGGTCGCCCGGGCCGCCGCCTCCGCCTCGGTGTCGTCTCTCCTCCCCGAGAGGAGCGCGGCGAGCAGGCCGCGGGGGTGTGGGGGGGATGGGGATGGAAAGAACGGCGACCGCGAGTGAGTTCCGCCCGCGGGGAGGGCGAGGGAGGGGGCTGCGCAGGCCGCGGCCTCCCGCGCTCGGGAGCCGAGCACGTGGGGACGCGCTGCGGGCGCGGGAGTCCCCCCACCCCTCCCCGCCCGGGCTTAGGGCCAGCCCCGAGGGCTCACGCGCTTCCCTGGAGGAAAATGTGCTAGCGGATGGGAGGGTGCAGGTCGGTGGGGGGGGGGGACGGGACCGGTGGAGGATGCGGAGCCGGGGGGGGGGGCGGGTAGGGAAGGAGAAGGAGCCTGCTCGGCCGCGGTTGTTAAGGGGTTAACACGTGCAAAGCATTTAGCGTAGCTGCTTTTTAACGAGAGATTGTTTTGTGTCTCACAGGTACAGTTAGAACTTCGCTGGGTGCCTTGGCCCCCGGGGTCTTTATTTGTGTGGAGAGAGAACTTGCTCACAAGTCTCCCTAGACCTCCGAATGGCTCTAAGATGAAGAGGAGGTTGGCTTGTTGGGTGCGGGGTTGGGGGGTAGGAGCTTCCAGTCTACTAAGACCTATACCAACAGCGTAGTTTTTCCCCCCCCCCCCCCCTTCCGGAGCTTCCCAAAATTCTCACTATGGGTATGAGATGGAGCAAGGCATTAATATATACTGATAGTGGGCAAAGCTCAGTGCGCCTCATTTATGTAGAGGTCTCAGGAGTGGCCACGCAGGGAGGGAGGAGACAGGTCCTGTTGGGAGGGCTGGACTTGCAGAATCAAAGGGTGAAATAATGGGCTGTCCATTGCCTGTCTCTAAATGCTGAAAAGACTCAAAATACTGACTAACCTGGTCTCAGGAGAGCCAACCCAAAGTTTGTTACATTTTGAAAGTAGCATCAGAACATCTATTCAAACTAATATCCAAAGAAATGTTTTGGTTGTATTTGGGGAAAACTTAAAACTTGTATTTAAAACTGACTGCAGGTAAACGGGATTTTTGGTGGTCTTGTCTCTCAAGCTTGTTTACCATTGAAGTACACACCCCAGATTTAAACTATACAACTACATTAATTCCAAATCTGGATTTGAAGGATTTAACTTAGCATTAGTAGGGTCTTAGACATCTGTCATAAAATCTTGACTTAACTAATTGTCCTTTTCTAGTCAGCATTTAGATTATTACATAGAAGACTCCTCAACATAACAAGAAAAGTTGGTCAGTTTTATCTGTTGGAAAATACCTGTTTTTGTTTTTAGTCTTGACCCCTGTAACTGACAGTTTAATACTGACCTGTCCTTTCACTGGGTTAAAAAAAAAAAACACTCTTGTTGGAAGAGCCTATGTGACTAGAATTCTTAACTTGAGTGGGACATGCAGGAGGTGAGGTGGTGGGAATGGTTGCTTCATATCTGTTTTTAGTGGGTCATGTGACTGGGTTTGTGAGCGGTGACAGCTAGACCTTGGGGTATCCACTCTTTCATTGCTAAAAATGTCTTTGGTCAAGTATTTCACATTTTTATTTACAATGGGAAGGGAGATACATAATTTCTTTAGAATAAAGAGAATGCTACAGGGACTGGAGAGCTGGGTTCAATTCTAAGCACCTACATGGCAGCTCATAACTGTTAATCTGGTCCCAGGGGATCTATGTACACAAAGGATGTACAGACATACATATAGGCAGAATAACACCCATTCACATAGAAACAAAGGTTACAAAACAAAGATACTCCAGGGGGAGCAGATGGGCACAATGATTACTGTGAGGGTTTTCTAAAGACAGGTTCTCTTACACAGCTCTTGCTGTGTAGAAGAGGTTGTACTTGAACTCAGATCCCACCTCTGCCAGTGGAATGCTTAAAGGTGTGGGGTTGTTTAAATTCCATCATTCCAATCATTCATGTATTTGTTTATTTAATGCTGTCAGGTAGTATTAGCTTTCTTTTGAAACATGGCTTAGGTGTTAGTACTAACATTTTAACTAGAAAACAGGTCTAGTATGATTAACAGGGTTCTTGTTTTTTTTTTAGCTTATGTGTGTATTTTGCTTACTTACATGGCTGTGTACCCTGTGCCTTCCTTCCTGATACCTGTAAAGATTAGAAGAGGGTGTCAGGTCCTAGTGTGAGCTGCCAAGTGGGCTCCTGGTCTCTGCAAGGAAAACAAGTACAATCAAACATTAAACCTTTATTTTGGTGAGGTTTTGTTCTCTTTTTTTGCTTGTGTTTTTCAAGACAAAGTTTCTCTGTAGACTAGGCTGGCCTTTGAATTCATCCTTCTGCCTCTTCTGGGATTAAAGGTATGAGTTACCATCACCTGGCTATATATTGGTTTTTTCTTTTGGTTGTTTCAAGACAGGGTTTCTCTGTGTAGCTTTGGAGCCTGTCCTGGAACTTGCTCTGTAGACCAGGCTGGCCTCGAACTCCTGCCTCCCGACTGCTGGGATTAAAGGCATGCCACCACTGCCCAGCATATATTGGGTTTTAAAGGCTGTTGTCTGACCTGAAGCACTGGACATCAGTGTGGAATTCAGAAGCACTGTTCTGGATTTTGCTGTGGGGAAAAGCAATAATGTGGTCAGGTAATTTTGTTCCAATAGGAAAATTGCTTGCATGTAAGTAAATAGTGTCTGCTTAGAAGCCTTTGTGTATATAAGCTGTGTTACATTCATATAAAACTGCAAGTTGAATATAGATTATTATTAATAAGTGAGGGGTTTTGCCAAATGCCAGTCCCCTGTACATGTACCTCTGCTGTTGCGTTAGATGATAGTCTTCATATGGAGATCTTCTGGACAGAAGGTAATGTTCTCAAGTGGTCCGTTTTGCTTGGGAGTTTAATACATGGCCAGGGCAGTTCAGAGATCACCACTAGAGTGAAAGTGTGTGGGGTGGTGCTTTTGGAACTGAAGTTCTGCTGGAGCCACATTTGGTGCTGCGCGCCCTGGACTGACGATGAGAGTGCTCCGAGAGAACAGTCACTTCTGGAATTCTTGATGGGGTGTGGTCTGAGAGAAAAGTCCAGTTATTGAGTTTCCTGGCCTCTAAGGCATACACATTTCAAGTGACTGCCTGCTTCATCGTAAGTCACGAATTTCTAGGAGGAAACGCGCTGATTGATATCACGGGAATTTTTCCAGAAAATGACCCACCAGAAGGTTAGAAGTTGGTAGCAGGTGCTTGGATATCTGGCTGTCCAAGACCGTGAAATGATCAGATTTTTGGGTAGTCAGGGTTTTTGTTTTGCTTCCCTTCTGCTTGTGTGGAAGATTTTACTTATTTCAGTTCAGATTAATAATTGACCTAAGGAAAATAGGAACCAGCATCTTTTCCCATTGAGATGATCTGTGCCATATTGGGTTACATGTTGAACCTTTTAGAGCTGATAGTGGTCTGTATGTGTTTTCCACTCATGGTAGTATAGTTTGTTAAAACACTTTGGTTAGGATTGTATTTTATTTGTTTTACTGCTCTAATGGTGGTGGAAATACTTAGCTGATATTGTGGCGTATACCTGTAGTCCAGCACTGGGGTATCTGAGGTAGGGAGAGATCAGTTTAGCTTAGCTGTTTGAGTACATACTGAGCAATGTAGTGAGTGGTACCATATATAAGACAAAACTATTTTTAGATACACAGTTATTTGCCCTAGACTGTCAACGTATACCATACCCTTAAGTAGAATGAAAGTGATTTCAGGGAGGACTCCAGTAAAGGCTGGGTGGTCCTACAGGTTTTTTCTTTTTTTATGGGATTGGGAGTTGAACTTAAGGCATTGCGTATATACTAGGTAATCTATCACTGAGTTACTTCCTCTAGTGTGCCCAGGATGTTGATTATGGCACAGAGTTATTAAACTAAATTCAGTTGGTTGGGTGGCACACACATGTAATCCCATTAACAAGGGAGGATGGAACATTCAGGGCCTTTCTTTGCTACACATTGAGTTCTCAGCTAGCTCAAAGTGAGGCTCTCAGGGAGCCATTTCAGGAAACACAATGCCGGCCTTAGCATAGGGTTCTGCTCAGTGATCTCATGCCATGGCCCACTTGCTGGGGAAGCTGGGATTCTTGTTTAGAATACTGATATTGGGTTTATTGGGTATGTTGGTTTAGAATCCAGCCCTGGAGTCCTTTTCTAATTAGATTTATAGAAAAGTTGTTTTGAGTTGATAGATATCTGTGAGGTATTCTTTCTTGCTCTGAGGGAAGAGTTAGTTTCTTTTGGTTCCCAGTTCAGGTTCAGTAGTCCACTATGGTGAGGAAGTCATGGTGGGAGGCAGGAGCTTGAATCAGCTGGTTAGAGAGATGAAGCTAGCACCACTACTATAACTTTCCTAAGTGTGAGACCATAGCCCTTAGAACGGAGCTGTGCTCATCTAAGAAGGGCTTTCCCACTTGAATTAATTTAATGTCATAATTGTTAACAAGCATGCTGAGAGGCTTGTCCTTAGGTGATTCTAGATCCTGCTGAGTTAACAATATCAGCTGTCACAGTATCCCTTGAGGGGTGTGTGCTTTCACCCCTTGAGGGATACCATCACATCATCTTAACCTATTTTGCAAAAGCATTGACCCTGTCTGTTAATTGAGAATGCCTTGCTAAAACAGTTTGCAAACTTTCTGGATGTTAGGTACATGTTAAGCTATGCTTATACATTTATTCTAACAGTTATAGGGGTTACTAGATGAGGCATTTACTTAATCCAGCAAATTCTAAGATGTTACTCAATTATGTTGGTGCATGTTGTAAAACAAAGTAATACAGAATGAAAATATGTTCTGTTAGGGTCATGGTTATTATCCTAGCATTCAAGAAGTAAGATTTGGTTCCAAGAGTTGGAAACTCCTAAGTTGCATAGTTTTAGGTCAGCCTAGGATACATGGTGAAACCCTGTTTATTGTAAGGAAAATCTCATCCCTATTTTAATTGTTTCTTGTGCCTTTGTACAAAGTTCTTATTTAGGGAGCTGTAAGTGCAGTTAGCTTAGTGTATTGTTCATGTAAGGTTTTTATTCCTACGGCTAAATTACTTTCTAGAAAAGTAACTTTAGACTTAAGAACAATGTGTTCACCCCAGTTTTCCCTACATTGAAAGTCTTCTAATATACAGAGCATATAGTCTTAGTTGTATTTTACTAGAGATAAAGAATCAATGTTCTTGGTAGTTTTAAATTAGTATGTGTAATTGCTTAAACATTTTATAAACACTGGCTGTTGCTAGAGAAAATTTCAGTACTACTATACACTGCATAAAGCAAATGGGAAGGTCTGGACAGTTGATGGATAAAAATGGAGTACTTGTTGCTTAGCGAGGGCCATGAGTTCAGATTCCTATAGCACCTATGAACACCTGTAAGTAACTGTAGACCCTTCTGCTTTCGCTGCATGTACTTACATACTCAATCCAGTGAGATGTGTATTGCTAAGTTCTTGCCAATACAGGGTGAGCAGAAAACACAAGTGCTGTTTCTAGTTTTAAGGCATTCCCAGTGCTGTCTCTAGGTTCTCGCTTTTTTTTTGTGTGTGAGAATCATCTAGGTGTTTGTGACTGGGTCTTCAACGGTGCAGGGAAAGTTTCAAAGGCTGGTATGCAAGGTTGCCCTGGTGATCTGAGCCACCTTTATGATGATCACATGACTGAAAACTAAACTCTATGCTGTTTAAGCTGCTGTAGGTTTCAGTTGCTCTTCATCCAAACCCTGATTCAATGGGCATCTTTAGACTCAGATGCCAAGAGGAACTCAAGAGGATGACCCTAAGAAATAGGTTTTAAGGCAGTCTTCTAAGCCCAGGCTGGCCTCCATCTGTCAGTAATACTAATGCATTAGCTAGGACCAGTTCTCATAAAATAGTTGAAAGATGCAGGAACTGTTACACTTTCCAAAGACCTAGAGTCATAGAAAAGGGAAATAGTTAAGCAAAGTGATAGTTTATTGGATAAAGTTGCCTGCTGCCAAGCCTAATGACCTCAGTTTGATCCCAAGGACCCAAAGTGGATATCTAGTCAGAGCTCCAGGGAGGCAGAGTCACATAGATCTGTGTTGAGACTAGCCAGGATCATCCAGGATTACATGATGAAAGCCTGTCTTAGAAAAGAAAATGTTGGCTGGTGGTGACACTTTTAATCCCAGCACTAGCTAGGAGGTAGAGACAGGCAGATCTGTTTGAGGCCAGCCTAGTCTACAAAGACAACCAGAGCTGTTAGACAGAGGAGCCCTGTCTTGGAAAACAAATAACAAAATGATTCTAAGGGAACTAAGTAAAAATTGAGCATCCCTTAGCATTAAGTGTTTGAGTAAGATAACTAATATTCTATAATTCTAGTAAATGTACTTTTTCTGTGAAATTACAAAAATCTAGCCTCTGAGAATTGTTTTTTTTATAATGGAGTCTTTGTGTGTTCCATGATTTTGGCGGGCGGGGGGGGGGGCTTCAAGATGGCTTCTCTGTAGTGTCCCTGGCTGCCCTGTAAATCAGGCTGGCCTCAAACACATCTCTCTGCCTTGAGTGCTGAGATTAAAGGTACCATGATTTTTTCCTTAACACTACAGTGTTATTTTGATTCATAGGAGTTCACTTGAAATGTTTTTAAGGAGAGATTCTTGTTTTTAATGCTGATTTTTCTTTTTTTTTTCTTTCTCAAGATATTTGGAGCTCTTACAAGATGGCAGACATTGACAAGTAAGTGGCAGATATTTCACTTTTTAGAGACTGCACTGTGGAATTAGTAGTACAGGTTATAGTACAGTAGTGCAGATTATATAGTATGAAAATGTGTGTTACTGACATCCTTTTTACCTGCTCTTTTGGAAGTTGGGTAGAGTATCTGATCTGAAATACATTATGTAGTTACTCATTCAGTAAACTATCCCCTGGCAATAGGCAGAGACACCTTATTGGTGGTGGTGTTCTTATTTCTATCAGTCAGGGGCAGAACAGATGGTAGCCCTTTGTTCATCCTAGCTTGATGCCTGGCTTGGTGGCCAAAGCTGCTGTTTCATGCCTAGGGCATTTTTTTTAAAAGCCAGGTATAGCATTTAGAGGCAGAGACAGGCAGATCTTTGTAAATTGGAGGCCAGCTTAGTCTACAGGATGAATTCTCGGATAGCCAAGAGCAGTGAGAACCTGTCTCCAAGAAAACATGGAAGAGAGAGTAAATTATATGTGAGCGAGCGTTTAGCCTTAAAGTGGTGAGTGAGTACCAGGCAGTGGTGGTGCACATCCCAGCACTCACTCAGGCAGAGGCAAGTGGATCTCTGAGCTTGAGGCCAGCCTGGTCTATAGAGCGAGTTCCAGGAGAGCCAAGGCTGCTGCAAAGAAAACAAAAGTGCTAAGCATGTGGTAGAATTTTTTTAGCATGCGTATATATATATATATATATATATATCAACACTTCCAATTACTACTGAAGTGTATAATAATCATGTAGAATTGAAACCGCATGCAATGCTGTTAGAATCAACCTTTTTGGGCATCCCAGTAGCACTCTCCACTTTCTTACCAAGGGCTCTAAGCAGTTTAGTTTCCATGCATTTATTTATTTCTCTTTGCTTTCTTTAGATTAGAATACTAATGTAGGTATGAGGAGGCCTGTGGGGCTGTACTAGGAATTGGATTTAGGGTTCCACAAATGCTAGCTCATGCTCTGCCATGAGCTGTCTCCTCAGCCGACAGTTGAATTTTTAAGAACTGAATACGTAAAGAAAGCAGTGTTGCTTTTAGTTGTATAAACTTTGCTGAGACTCTACAGGGTTTGTAGATAGGTTTTGACAGCTTGAAACACAGTATAAGCAAGTTTTCATATGTATATCTTCTAAGAATATGGTCAGGGAGGATGGGATAGGCTACACAAGATTAGTCGTGTTTATTTGACAGTCTTACGAGTTTACAGTAGTTACAATTCAACACTAATGATAATGAGGATTGCCAGTGGCCTTAGATAACAAGGGCACAGCGTTGTTGGGAACAGAGCCTATAAGGGAAACAAGTACAAATATGTATGACAGTAACACCTGTGTTTTTACATGCTTGCTCTCCTCAGAAGATCACATGGCAGTATATTACTGTGACATGTAGCATGACTGAATGTTACTGCTTGATATTTAGGGTATAGAAATCTATGAACATTTTAATTCAGAATTCTGAAGGTCCTGCTCTGGTGTCATTGTCTCCAATGTGACATTGAAATTCAAGGCCACAGTTCTTTGATCCTATGCATTGTAAAAATTTGTTTAATTTGTCTTTAGTTCTGCCCTTCAGTAGTGGGCCCTTTCAGTCCGCCCGTCCACTCCGGTGGCTTCAGTTGTAGGGCATGTTTATTTTTGACTTACTGTCCATCGGCTTGCCTCTTCTCTCTTTCTGCAGCTCTTCTTAGATGTTGTATCTTGGAGTAGTCTTCTAGTTTTTTTTAATCTGTCTCTTTGCTCTTTCTGGAACTTTATTTTTCTGTTTGTATTCTTAAATTGGTTCCTTTAGTTCTTTCGATCTCCTTTCTCGTTTTTCTCTGGATGTTTCTTTCCTATTTAGTCTTTCTTACTCTTCTTTTGTTTTAGACTTAATTTGTAATGGGCTTTCCTGATGGAGTAGTGTTTGTTCAAATTGATATTGAGGGATCTGGGATTAGTGCATTGGAACACATTAACAATAATATTTAAAAAGCATGAAGGCTTGGTAGAGGTCTTGTTAATGTGGGACACTGCTGTAGAGTGGGTCATCAGTGATTGGCTATGAGAACTAATGTCAGAACGACTTCTTGGAAGTCAAATTCCTTGGTAAGTAGTGTAGCTCTGGCTTCCATTGTTGCAGGAACCAAGGAGGCAGTTAGGGAAAGGTTAGCTTTCTATTTTATAAGTAGTCATATTAGGCACTCAGTAGTGTTGTCAATATTGTTAGCTTTTATTTTGAAGACTGTTAGTCTTATCCTTCACATTTCCTACTTAGGTTTTAATAAACTTGATTCTCCTGTTCTGTCTTAAATCTTGTTCTCCTTTCTTTGATGTTAGTCTTAACCCCTTAAAAACTTTTTAGTTGACTTTGGAAGAATTAGAATTAGGTGTCATTAATCTGTCAGCGTAGTAGCCATTGTTTTATAAACAATTAAAAACTGCAAATTGTTAACAGTTTCATTCCCCTCCTACTATTTTATATGGCTGTTAATCTCTGGGAAGATGAGAAGAGAAACCTTAAAGTAAGCCAATAAACTGAGAAAGAACTAGGTGTGAGCATTTTACTTGCCTTGGGCCTTAAAACTGCTTGTAGTAAGTAGTACCCTTGCAGTTTTGTTACTATGTCTGTTCTAATACAAATTTGTGGTATTTATAGAAATGTAGAATTAAGTAGATTTGGCCATATGATAGTTTGTGAAATATGTTTCATAGTAAATATTTGAAGGTAGTAAAGGAACTGTGGCTGTGTGTTACCTAATAGCAGCCTCTGGCTTCGTATGCATGCATAGAAGATAGTTGAGTTTGTAGATTGCCCTGTTACACATGGCAAAACCTTGTCAAAACCAAACCAAAAAATAAAGAAGGGAAAATTGTTCTTAATTCCACTTTCTCTGTGGAATGTCACATTCACAAAGTAGGGTTTTGCTGATTCTCCCAGGATGATGAGAAAGATATCATCTTTCTCCTAATAGGAACTGTTGTAGCTAAAATTTAAACAAGGTATTGGCTCAAAAGTCTAAACATTTCTTTATTTTTATTGTGAAGTAGAGAATTCATAACCAGAGGTAACAGGATCCCACTGTCCCCATCTCCCCGCCCCCCCTACACACACACACACACACACACAGGGTCTTTGCATAGTTCTGGAACTCACTCTAGATCAGATTGACATTAAACTCTGCCTCCTAAGTGCTGGGATTAATGGCCAGGATCCTCTACATTTCCTCTCCCTCCCCCCAAGACAGGGTTTCTCTGTAACCTTGGATCCTGTCCTGGAACTCACTCTGTAGACTCATAAATTCACCTTCCCTCTGCCTCCCAAGTGCTGGGATCAAAGGCATGCGCCACCATCGTCCAACTTTTAAAATTCTTTTTTATTTTCCCTTCTATGTTTCAGCTAGCATCTTCATCCTTAGTGTGATTACTTATTTTCTGGGCTGTCCGATGGTCATGGTCAATGTAGCTGCTGAAGCTATAGTTATCCAGAACAGAAGGATCTGTCAAACTCAAAAAGGTTTCCTAGCTATCTACCATTTTCTAAGGATTCTTTCATAAGTTTTAAATAACATGTTTTGTAAGATCTCACTGCCAGAGCCAGGACTAAGGGTGACAAAACATCCCATCTCAAAAACAAGCCTGACGGTGATGGTGCACACCTGTAATTCCAGCGAGGTCTATAGGGGAAATTTCAGGACATCCAGGACTTACACAAGGAAACTATCTCATAAATAAACAACAAAAAAACACCAACAAAAAGAAAACAAAGACAGAACCAAAAGATTGGCTGCCATAAATTGGGCATGGTGGGGTAGGCCAGTAGTCTTGGCACTCTGGAGGATCAAGTTTCCAAAGACACTTTTCTTCAGCTGAAGAAGTTAGGTGCCAGCGTAGGCTATGTGAAAAAAATGTCCAAAGGAGCCGGTGTTGGGGACACATGCCTTTGATCTCAGCACTCTGGAGGCAGAAGCAGGCAGACCTATGAGTTCCAGGACAGGTTCCAAAGCTACACAGAGAAACCTTATCTTAAAAGAAAAGAAAAAAAATGTACAAAAGAGCAAATAAAATGCCATTGCCAAAGTCTAGTCATAGGTATATAAAATCGACTAGGATAGTACCCTTATAGAGATGCAAGGATTCGGTCATTGAATCCAAGTTTGAAAACATGCTACCTGAGCTCACATAACTACCAAACTGCATTTTTAAAGCTTGAAGCTTGTTTTTTTGCTAGATGGGTTTAAGTAGAGGTGTGAAAAACTTCAGTTAATACTTGTCTACAAGTCACAGTTAGGAAAAGGAATTACTTTTGCATTTCTGTCCCTAGAACCTTACTTGTTAGAAAGTCATTACAAGTTTCTCTGATTTTGTTTTGTGGTTCATATATTTAAACTATGGTATGATGCTATGACATTGTAGCAAAGAACAGTCTGAACTTGATCAAGACTTGGATGACGTTGAAGAAGTAGAAGAAGAAGAAATGGGTGAAGAAACAAAAATCAAAGGTATTCTTTTAAATTACTTCAGGAGTCAGCAGTTGCTGGCATGTGTCCTCTAGAGGAGAGTAATAGGAACTGTCCCCCTTTTCTGGACCCTTGTCCGTTGTCGTTTATCTTCTGGTCAGTTCTTTGAGTTTAGTTAACTGTTCTTGTGTAAGAGAGCAGACAGTAAGCAAGGAAGAGACAGATGATTGTGATCGATAAGTCATTAGCATTTCATCCCTGTTGCTGGAGTTAGCTCTCTAGCTGTGTCATACTTGAGGATTGGCAATGCTTCTAAACTGTACTATTTAATTACATAGAAAGTGTCATGTGTCTATCATAAATTCACCCTATTAAACACCAGCATTTACTGTGGAGTCAGTGAGTTTACCTAGCAGAATTTGTGCAGGGAGTAGTAGTACTGATGGGGTAGGCAGATGTCCCAGGAGTATTTAGGTAACCACTTTGTCATTTTTGGCCAGATGAATTTTGAGTTCCTGCCTTCTTTCAGAAGGTTCTTTTCGGTTGCTTTAATTAAATGGGTGCTATTAGAGCTGTGCATCATCTACTTACTGAATTATTAAAAGCAAATTGGTCTCCAAGACTAACTGAATGATTTTGTTATACTCTCAGACTAAATGTACATAAAATAAAAACATCTAACACAAACATTCAGATAGCACCTTCATTTTTCTCAGGCCTAAAATGTACTTGGAGTTTTCTGGTAAGTGTTGTCTCCCTTTGGGTGACTTGTTGAATCTTGGGTAGGGCAAAACTTTGAGCTCTTTCCCAAGTACAAGGTGATGAAATGTAAGATAATCAGGATTAGAGAGCATTTTGCCCATTGTGCTTGTGATAATAGCCTAGAGAAATCCAGTGTAGTAAATACCATTAGAAACCCAGACTTTTCTAAGTGCTGGGTTTCCTTAGCTTACCCTATACATTTCTACTCATCATACCAGCATTTTATGGGCCTGTTAGCAAGACTTGATGATTGGTGTCCAGTGGAAACAGCAGAAATGGTTTCACAAATCCCTCTTTCAATGCCCCCTTTCTTTTTAAAAGCGCGTCAGCTGACTGTTCAGATGATGCAAAACCCTCAGATCCTTGCAGCCCTTCAGGAAAGACTGGATGGTCTGGTAGACACACCAACAGGATACATTGAAAGGTACAAGTCCCTTCTTTTTTCTCTCTATAAAAAGCAAGTCATTGGCATTTACCTGTGTGATTGATCATGGAACACTAATGTCTGTTAGTATCTAGTAATTAAGAATATACAGCTTTAATTAGGTTGGGTCTTTTGACTTTGTTCAGGTCTGTAGGAAGGAAATAAACTGATCTTAGCTATTTCTATGACTTGTTTAGTAGTTTAAGAAATGTACAAAATTAGATTGTAGATTTTTTTTTGTCTTTTTTAAAATACAGATTATTACATGTGCTGCATAATTCAGCTTTCTGATTTCAAGGTCCATGTCTACTATCTTGCTTATTAGAATGTCCCCTTGGTCTATGTGTCTGCTAATTCTGTTGCTTCTTCTTTCTTTGGACTGGGATGGTGGTGCCCATTGTTCTGTTCGGGCTGTTTTGGTAGAATTCCTACTTAGAGCAATCTTTAGGACTTGAGTTAAATTTCTGTAAGTGCTAGGATTTCTTTGCAGAGATGTGTAGTCTGAAGGTGGCTTTATCTTCTATGTCTGCCGAAATTTTGCATCGATCTTTTTGTAGATTTTCTTTTTTACCAGCCTAGAAGGTATGATCTTGCTGTAATTGCATTTTCTGCTTTCCAGTAAACTTGGAGCTGCTTTTCAGCAAATGTGTGGGCCTTGGGTAGCCCATTTGTACCCTTTGTCCGTTTTCTTACTGAGGTTATATATTTTGCAGAAATTCTTATGTATTCATATTTCTACCTATGGAGTTCTTCAGAAACATCCTTAATTTTTCTTATGAAAATGGGTGGTGTTTTTTATTTTTGTGCAGATGACTTGTGTATTCAAATTGTGGAGGAACTCTTTTCTTAGGTCTTAGGTAAATAACGTCCATTCATTCCTTTGTAGTAAGTTCTTACTAAACTATTTCATTTATACATGTACCACCTGTTTAACATAGGAAGTTCTTTGAAATAGTTGAATTTGTGATAGAACACTTGGATTCCACTGGTCTTTTCATCTATTTTTCTATTTTTCTTTGAACACATTTAGTAGCTATAGTATTAACTAGCTATGGTGTTAACCTCAGAAACTAAGTTGCTTCCATAATTTGAACTCTTACGCAGTCTTCATGTTGGTCATGTTGCCCTTGTCTGACCGACAGGATGCTTCCTTTCATACTGTCCTATGGGTAAACACAATCAAGAAGTTGACCTGCCTATACCTCTGCCCCACATGTTTGACAGGGTTCTCAGTGTTAACTCAACGTTTGCTCAGAGATCGACAGTTGTGTATCTTTAGTATCATCTCATTCATATACTTATATTTGTAATAAGTACATGTATTTCAGTTTTGTGGTTTTAGACTATTTCTGTATCATTTGTATGTGATATTCCTGTTGTGAATTTTATATTTTATATTGTATTCTTGCTTATGGAAAAATGCTGTGTTTTTAAAAATGAATAGTGTATCCAGTGGTATATCTACCCCCCCAACAAGATTTGAAGTCAGACGTCCCATCACCTAGGAATAAATATAGTGTGTTACATCACGTATTTGTGAGATAAGTATGTATGTGTGTATTTATTGTGTACAAAGGAAGTTTCATGGGTTATTAATAGTATGAACCAGGATTTCACTTGCTTAACAAAATGAGCAGCAATTTTTTTTCTGAATAAATTTTACTTATGTATTTGGTGTTTTTACAAGTGCTTTTGTCTGCGTGTCTGCCTACATGCCAGAAGAGGGCATCTGGTCCCATTATATGGATAGATGGTTGTGAGCCACCATGTGGTTGTTGGCAATTGAATGCAGTCAGGCTTTACAGATCAGCCAGTGCTACTGAGCCATCTCTCCAGACCAAGGATGTTCCTTTTTTTCCTTCCATTTTCTGGAACAACTTCTTTAAGGTAGAAAGTAACTAAAAACTGCACATAGTTTAAATGCTTTTGGCAAGTTTGGGTCTACTTTTTAAATAAATGATTGTATGTATATGAGCATGTTGCTTGTTTAAGATTGTGAGCCTCATGGCTATGGAGGTCAGAAGAGGGTTTTACTTTGTAAGGTACTGTGGAAATGCTGGCAACCTAACCCTGGTCTTTTCTAACTTGCTCTCACCCTCCTTTCTGGTAGATCAGGTTGGCCTACAATTCACAGCAGAGATCTTGCCTGCCATTGCTTCCCAAGTACTGGTAATAAAGGAATGTGCTATGACACCTAACTACCATTTTAAAATCCAATTTGGTTTTTTAATTTTTCTTCTTTTTCTTTTTTTTTTTTTTTTTTTTTTTTTTAATGATCCAATCCCAGTACTCCCCCTCTCCCTGCCGCAGCTCCCATCTGCTCCTCCGAGGATGAGTGTCCCCTAGCAAGTCTAAGTCTGTCCCATCATCTCTTGAAGCAGGACCAAGGCACCTCTCCACCCCTGTGTCTAGGCTGAGCTAGGTATCTCTCCATATAGAATGACCCTTACTAAGTAATCTGGTTTGTGCATTACTGTTAGGTCTTGGACCCACTGCCAGTGTCCAGTCACACTATTGTCACCCATATTAAAGGACTCTAGTTGCGGTTCCCCATTTGTCAGACATGATTCAGTGATCTCTAGTTAGCTTTGGTCAGCTGATTCTGTGGGTTTCCCCATCATGGTCTTTATTCCTTTGTTCATATTATTGCTCCTCCCTTACTTAGATTGTACTCTAGGAGCTTGGCCTATTGGTTACTTGTGGATTTCTGCATCTGTTTCTGGAAAGGGATTCTAGCTTCTCTGGCCTTTGGACTGTAGGCTGGGTATCTTTTGTTTGGTATCCAGTTATGAGTGAGTACATACTGTTTGTCTTTCTGGGTGTAAATGTAAATTATCCATTCTTTGGTTGAGGGGCATCTAGCTTTTGTTCAAGTTGTGGCTATGACAAATAATATTGCTATGATCATAGTTAAGCAAATGTCTGTGTGGTGGGAAGTGTGCCTCATTTGGGTTTATGCCCAGAAGTGGTATTGCAGGGTCTTGATGTAGGTTAGTTCCTAATTTTCTGAGAAATGGCCCTACTGATTTCCACAGCGGCTGTACAAGTTTGCACTCCCACTATTGAGTGTTCCCCCTATTAATACATCCTCTTCAGCTTAAGCTGTCCAAGTGTTTTTTAGTGTCAATTTTTGGTAAACGTGTAGAATGTAATTTGGACTTAAAATACTAATATATCTAAGAACCTTCTCTCTCCCCCCCCCCCCCCAAGTATTTTGAGACAGGGTTTCTCTGTATAGCCCTGGCTGTCCTGGAACTTTCTGGCCTTGAACTCACCTGCCTCTGCCTACTGAGTGCCCACTTTAATTTTACTTAGAATTTCTTTTGCGTATTTTCTGTAGCTTCTCTCTCAGTTGTCTCTGGCCTTGTCTTATACTTGGCTTTGCCTCTCAGTTTAATCTGTCTGTTGTGGCCTTAGTATTCTTTTTCTTAAAGATTTATTTTCTTGTTTATGTGCATGTGTGGTTGCCCAGGGAGGCTAGAAAAGTACAATAGATCCTGGGTTAGAGTTACAGATGGTTGTGAGCATTCCAATATGGGTGCTGAGAAATGAATTATGTTCTCTGTAAGAGTGGTAAATCACTAAGCCAATTTTTCAGCTCTTATTTTTGTAACTGTTGTGTAAATACTGACTGGGGGGGGTGATTCACTTAAGATGGCAATTTGGTACTCATGACGGATCCTGATTACCCAAATTTAATCTGTGGAATCACACAGAAGTGGGAGGACACTGTCCCCAGTGTTGTAATTTGACCTATGCACAGCTACCCTAACTGTAGAATGAAGAAAGCATCCTGACCATAATAGCTGAGCATAATTGTATTCCTTGAGCTATCTTTGTTTCTGTACAGTAAGTTTACTTGGTCTGAAAGTTTTAGAAAGGATACGTGAAAAAACATAGGTTCCACCAGTTCCTGTTTATAGCTGTGTTTATACATACCTAGTCTTTGTGTTTTGTAGTTTCTCTGGCCATACATTTTTTTCCTAGCATAAGACACTGTAGCTTTCTTATTTTAATTACGTATATTTTCCTATCTGATGTCATAAGCTAAAGTTTCTTTATTAAGTTCAGTCTTTTATTTTGAGACATGTACTCAGTTTGACTACTCTGGCCTCACCTCAGGCTTCTGTGTAGCTTCTCCATAGCCTGTCTCTGCCTCTCAAGGTCTGGGATCATAGGCATGTGTGATTACAGGCCGAGGACAGCATTTTTGTATATGTGTTAAGTGTATCCATGCATGCATATGCATGAATACTGCCCTTTTGAGTGGGATTGAAAGGTGTGGGATCCCTTTGGTTCTGGAGTTAACAAGCCATTGTGAGACTCAGCTTTATGTCCTGAGGGTGAAATTATGTTAGGACTGACTGGAGCTACCTTTCTTTCTCTGTTTATGCCTTCCATTGCTTTGCAGCTAGTCAGTCCATCCTCTGTACTTGAACTTCCCTGGCTTATAAACACTGTGTTTCTGTTGTGTAGTTTTTTTTTTTTTTTTTGAATATTTTTAAGATGTGTATTATTTTGTTTTCTCCATCAAGGCAATTAGTATCATACCTTATATACTATTACTGTACCTTAATTAATTGCTTTAAATCATATGCTTTCCCTACTGGAAAAGCCTACTATACCCAGTACATTTATCTTGACAAGCATTGTGAAACTACTGTGATTTTTTTTTTCTCTCTTTTGAAAGCTATGAAGTTTGATATAAATTTGATTCTCTTATGAATTATTGACTTTTTTCTTTGCAATCTTGTCTTCAATATTACTGAATAGGAAGAGTCCATAGTTGTCCAAGGGAAGAGCAGAATATAAAGGATTTCTTTTTCTTTTTTATATTTTTGGTTTATGTGTTTGAGTGCTTTGTTTTCATCCATACAAGAAGAGGGTGACAGATCTCATTACATATGGTTGGGAGCCACCATCTGGTAGCTAGGAATTGAACTCAGGACTCTGGAAGAGCAGGCAGTGCTCCTAACCTCTGAACCATCTCTCTAGCCCTAAAGGATTTTTTAAATACTTTCTTCTAGCTTGTCATCAACTTGATTTCTGGCACCTTTTCCCCAGGTTTGAGTTTGTTGTATGTATACTGATTAGGAATAGCAAATCGTCTTGCTTAGAAGCTGACTGGAAAGGTGTTTGCCTCCTTTCCTGGGATAGTTTTGAAATATTAGGCTTTGCTCTAATGTTGGGAATGAGGAAAACAGCCAGCAAGTGATGCTACTTCATCACTCTGAGGTGGTGTGATGCTCACCTTAATGTTTTTTCTCTTTGAGCACACACCAACACATCCACAGTGTATGGGAGTTGGTTCTCTACCTTCCACTGCACATTCTGGAAAAATCCAACTTAAAGCCATTAGTCTAGAACAGAATTTTTTGTAAGGAATGCAGAAAACTGATCTAGTGAATGTTAATTCCCTAATTTTAATTTTTAGTGGTTAGGTAAGAATTATTTTATAAAAATTTGAATACAGAGTTCAACCTGAATTTTAGGTATTTATTGCTCATACTTTCTAAGATTTTAAGTGTGTCTTGCTTGATTTAAATAATGAACACACCAAGCAGGTGGTATGTTGCATATTCTCCATAATGTTGTTAATGTAAGTGCCAAATTAAGTCTAGACAGTGGAAACTTACCATTCCTCTAAAGTCCAGGTGTTGTCTTAGCCTAGTTAATACAGATGAGGTAGGTGCCTACACAAACCAAAGGATTATTTTGAGTTAGAATTATTCTTGTTATGCACTCTATTGCATTTATCATTGAGTCTGCTTATACTGAACTTTCTTACAGTTTAATTTGGCAGGGCTTTGATTTTTGTATTGTTTTACACTAATTGCTTTTATAATGAAAGGATCCATATTTCTAATTTGAGTTTTAAATTCCTTGCTTTAACTAAGAAGTTTTTGTTTCAAATGTAATGTGATAAAATGACTTGTGTTTTTGTATGGTTTTTATGTAACTGGTTTCTAAACTTTCAGCCTTCCTAAAGTAGTCAAAAGACGGGTGAATGCCCTCAAAAACCTTCAAGTTAAATGTGCACAGATAGAAGCCAAGTTCTACGAGGAAGTTCATGATCTTGAAAGGAAGTATGCTGTTCTCTATCAGCCTTTATTTGATAAGGTAATGGTTTATACTACTTTTTAAACTACTTGGGAAAACAAACTTGTGAATAGCTTGATGTTTAGATATCTGAATGGCATGTGTAGTTAGAGGCTTCTGTGAAACCATCAATAACGATTTAAAAAGTTGTGATATTTACTGATTAAATCTATGAGCCCTTAACCAGAAAGCAAAGCTTGGGTACTAATGTTTTTATACAAGTTCTTTTTTTTCTGTTTTAATTTTAGCGATTTGAGATCATTAATGCAATTTATGAACCTACAGAAGAAGAATGTGAGTGGAAACCAGATGAGGAGGAAGAAATTTCGGTTAGTAGTACTAATGAAATGTTCCTCTACTTTGAGGTGCTAGGACCATAAGGAGCTCTCAGAAGTATCTTGTTGATGGTCTAGGAAATATCCTTTTGGCCAGGGGATGGATGTGAATGCCGGCTGAGCAGTTTGTAGCCTGGCATTGTCTGCTTTTGTAGTGGTCTGAGTTTTCTGTGTAGTTTCCTTTGAACTTCATGATGGCTGGTGGGGAATGACAGCTGTGACAAGTAGTCCAGTGCTGTGTTGTGTGACCATGCTTCTCTAGCTTTTAGAGAATGTAATCAATCAGTCCACTCTGATTTTGAGTCTTGGGCAGGTCTGTTTGCTATGCTTCCTTCTGCTTTTGATAATGTTCCCTACAGCCCTTGATCTGCCACCTAGGGGTTCTTGATTTCTGTGGAACTGAAGTTTGGAATGAGTGTCTCTGTTGAAATTATGCTTAGTGAGTGTTTTGTTTTTAGACCTAGACTGTCTGAATTAAGGGGTCATACAGGTTTATCCAAAGACCAAATAGTCATTCAATTGCTTGCTGTCGCTTTTCAAGGAGGAACTAAAAGAAAAGGCCAAGGTTGAAGACGAGAAAAAGGATGAAGAAAAAGAAGACCCTAAAGGGATTCCTGAATTTTGGTTGACAGTTTTTAAGAATGTTGACTTGCTCAGTGATATGGTTCAGGTAATTTAATTTCTCTAAAAGAAGTCTGACATTTCTTAGTTGACTTATTTGTAGTTTTATATAGAAAGTGATATTTTAAAACTTTAGTAATGAAATAGAATCTTTGAACATTAATTATCAATTGATTCTTAGAATTTATAATGCCTTCCTGTTTGCCTATGCTTTCATATAAGGGTGTAGTGCTGGTGAGGAAATATTGGTGTCCATTTAAATTGCCTTAAAGTTTTTCGGCTTGAAATTTAATCCAATGGAAATTTGCATCTTAAAAGTAAAGCTATGCTGGGTGGTAGTGGTGTACACCTTTAGTCCCAGTGTGTGGGAAGCAAAAACAGGCAGGCAGATCTCTGAGAGTTCAAGTTCAACCTGGTCTACAGAGTGAGATCCAGGACAGGTGCCAAAACACTACAGAGAAACTGTCTCAAAAAATAAAATCAAACCAGCTATATGTAATAACTCTTAATAGCAGAGTTATTAACACTGAGGAAACTGCCATTGCCCTCTGTTATACTGATTGCTCAGTGAGTGCTTACTACATTTCTGCTTTACCAAAATAGAAAAGGAACAGTTTAAAAAGCTATTTGTCAAGAATGCCCCATTTTTGTATTATAAATGGGTCAGTCAGTATGAGGTAGGCTTCATGATCTGGTGAAGAAGTGTTATGGTTCATAATTTCTATATAAAACCTCACTGTAACAGACACTGCCTTTAGTCATTAGTTTTTGTATAGTGACAGAAGATTGACCCTGCTATGCCAAATTAGATAATAATTCTTATTTTAATTTGAAGGAACATGATGAACCTATTCTGAAGCACTTGAAAGATATTAAAGTGAAGTTCTCAGATGCTGGCCAGCCTATGGTAAAAAAAAAAAAAAAGACTGTTAAATACTTTTGTAATGTTTTTATATAGATAAGTTGAAACAGGTGATATTCAAGAGTTAGTGATGGAAGTAAGGGATTACAGCTGATACTAGGTACATGTTCAGTTTGGTGGTCAGTTAATCAGTGATCCTAGACTAAAGTGAATGAAAATAATAAGGGGTTTCTGGGAATGACTTGTGGTAGATGGTGCTAAAGGCCTCTATGAGGAGAAACATGAACTAGTTGGTTAACCCCCCCCCCCCCGTGTCAACTATGGGCAGAGCTATGAATAAAGGCAGTCATTTCATGTGTAGTGGTGAGGGTCTAACTTCATGTCTAAAGATAGTGTCTGTGGGGGATGGAAAGAAGGGAACACTAAGGTCAGTTTCCCTTACAGTCTTGTTAGGCTGTATTTAGACATGCTTACCAAACAAACCACAGGCCAGACTGTTCTTCACTAATGCCTTACTTTGTTTTCTCTTATTAGAGTTTTATCTTAGAATTTCACTTTGAACCCAATGAATATTTCACTAATGAAGTGTTAACAAAGACGTACAGGATGAGGTCAGAACCAGATGATTCTGATCCCTTTTCTTTTGATGGACCAGAAATTATGGGTTGTACAGGGTGAGTTAATCGTACTACTGTTTGTGTTTAGTTGTAGGCAGAGCTTACAGTCTTGCATTCCCTTGTGTATCCTGTTAGATTTGTACATTGCCAGACATTTAAGACTGCCATTTTCCACTTGGTCTAGCAATATACAATATGTGTATCTCTGGGAAAGAAGACAGTATTCACTTTCTTTATATCATGTGTTATTGCTGTTGTAAATATATAGAATGCAGATAAGTTAAAATATCATGAAATGTATATTTTTGTCTTCTAAGGTGCCAGATAGATTGGAAAAAAGGAAAGAATGTTACTTTGAAAACCATTAAAAAGAAGCAGAAACACAAGGGGCGTGGGACAGTTCGTACTGTGACTAAAACAGTTTCCAATGATTCTTTCTTTAATTTTTTTGCCCCTCCTGAAGGTAAGCAGTGTTTTAGCTTTGGTTGTATCCATGAGTGTTTGTATAAACTTAGCTAATTTTTTATTCACATTTGGATTTGTTTCCTTATTTTTGCAGTTCCTGAGAATGGAGATCTGGTAAGTTGTTTATTCAACTTCATATACAATAAATTAAAAGAGCTAGACATTCGATTACAATATATATTATATGGGCTGGTGCAGCTAGCTGTGGCACTGGCTGGCCTGGAACTCATTTACATGAGACTGGCCTGGATCTTACAGGTGCACTATCTCTGTTTCCCAGGTGCTGGGATTAAAGGCATGTACCACCATAGCTGCTGAAGATTCATTCAGTATTACTACTTTATGTGTATTAGTTTGCCAGCACAGGTGTATGTGTTCCATTTGTGTGCCTGATACCTTCATGAATCTGAAGGGCATAGACCAGGCTTGAACTGGAGTCATCATTGGGTGTGCATGGCTTTGTGGATCCCTAGAATTGAACCCTGAGTCTTCTGTAAGGCAGCCAACGCTGTTAACCATTGAGCCTTACCTGCTGAATCATCTTCCCAGCTGTATTTCCAAAGGAAAATTGGTTGTTTTTTAAACAAAAAGCCCTATGTAATAAATAGTTCTACTTTTTAGTGTAATTTTTCTTTGTATATATGCTGGCCTGCTACTTAGTTTTAGTATTCATAACTTGCAAAGCTAGTCCTTGAAGTACATGTGTAGAAACTTATTGTTAAGTGACAGGAGAGCAAGGTTAATTCTCAGGACAATTTTTTCTTAACAGGATGATGATTCCGAAGCCATACTGGCTGCAGACTTTGAAATTGGTCACTTTTTACGGGAGCGGATAATCCCAAGATCAGTGTTATACTTTACTGGAGAGGCTATTGAGGATGATGATGATGATGTAAGTATATCTGAACTCTGCTGCGCATCGTAGGGGGTGGGTACCATGGTCTACGGTGCTAAGAAATGTCAAGGTTAGGGTTTGTAAAAGAAGTAGGACACAAAGACACTGAATCCCAGGAATGACTTTCAATTTAGAAGTTGCCTTTTTTAGGATACTTGATTCATGTTTATTTTATTTTCCATTAGAATAGTTAACTTGGTACATACATTGGCTCTATTTTGATGCATGAAAACTAGAACTCTGGGATTGTTATGTATTAGTTAAATGATTTGGCCTTTAGCTGTCAGAGAGCTGGGGGATTTTTCTGCATTTCTAGTTGCTTTATTTTTTTTTTTTAACTTTTTATATTGGTGTTCTAATAACAATGGGTGTTACTGATGCTGTACTCACTTGTTACATGTTCACACCTGTACTTCTCTTTCTCTTTTCAGTATGATGAAGAAGGAGAAGAAGCTGATGAGGTAATGTTTACCAAATGAGCAAGTAATTCACTGTGTAACACATTGAGGAGCAAATTGAGTGATTAATGTATTCCTTTGCTATAATCATTCTGTGATTTGGGATAAATTTTGGAAAATTTAATTTTAGAATTCTTCAGCCAAACACTGTATGTATAAGGTTTCAATAAATAAATTGCAAAACTCAGCAACATTTTTTTTTTTATTTCAAATAATTTTGTTCTGCTGCAGGGTTATCAGCTCTTTGAAGAAGTCAAAAGCTGCAGTAAACTTTTCCAACGTTGGCTGCAGTAAATCTTTTCAATAAAACCTGTCTGGATGTCTCAAGTTGTGTTGGGAAATTTTTCATGTTAGAAGCTTTCAAATTAAATTGTATTAATCAACAAACGCTGTAATCATGAAAGTCTGTAGAACCATAGAGTAACTTATACTAAAATTTCCATACATTATGAGCCAGTTTTTCCTAACATGTACCTACTTCATGGATGCATTTTGAACTTTAATATAGGAAGGGGAAGAAGAAGGAGATGAGGAAAATGACCCTGACTATGACCCCAAGGTGAGCCAAGCCAGTGTTGTTTCTTTTCCTATTTTTTAAACTTAGACTGCAGTAAGAGATGAGTTGCCCTTCTTCCTCGTTATTTGGGACTTGTCTGTTTTTTTAAGGATTAGATGTGTATTGCTCAGGTTGGTGTTTTCCACCCAAAGGAGAATGAGAATTAACTAAAGGAGATCTGGATGCAGGAGTGCTTTGGACTTAAAAGCAGTGCTTTGTGTTGGATTATTATTACTGTTGTCATTTAGTCCCTAAAAGTATACAATTGGGAATTTTAGGGTTGGTAAAAAGATGCTTGCTTCTCTTTGAGTATGTAATAATTTGCAGTGATTTCCTTTATTTCATTCATTGACCATATCTTTTGAAATATCAGAAGGTAGCTAAATAGAAACAGAATAGCTTTGGAAGTAAAGACAAAAAAGTTAACAATATCCACGATGGTGGTTACTTTAAAATTTATCTCAGATAAGCTTTACTTTATGCTTCGGTGACTTGGTAGCTATCCCTGATCACTTGTTCTCACCCTAATTTTATGATTTGAAATAATGTGATAATTGAAGCAGTTATTGTTTGAGAAATACAAAGTGGGTAGAAGATAGATTGACCTGTTGTTTTCCTTTAACAGAAGGATCAGAACCCAGCAGAGTGCAAACAGCAGTGAAGCAGCTGTCTGGCCTTGAGGACGGCCTACCCTGTAATAGCCTAAATGCGACTGTCATTTACTCACAGCCTTATGTTTTGTGTTTCCTTGGTAGAATCAGTAAGTCTTTAAAGGAAAGGAAATTGCTATTGGAAAGACCAAGCTGTTCTGCCTAGCATCCTAACTATAGTTCTCTCAGATCTGTTGAATGCAGGAATCTCTCTAGTGCATGTCACTAATTCTACAGTTTGGTCTTCCAGAATGTTTTCGTCATGTACCTATTGGAATACACAAGTATGGAAATTCAACTGTTGAGCCCCTTGTTTGCTATATAGCTGTTTCTTTCCTCAAGAACCAAAATTGTTTTCAGATGGTTGAAGTCGGCCTGTTTCAGCTGATACTTCCATTATGCTAGGGGATGCAGGGCTGACACGTTGGAGAAAGGAAAATTGTGGTTAAGAATTTCCAGTAAGATCAAACCTAGTAACTGAGATTAAGGGAGTTTTCTATTTCAGATGATATAATTATAACAGAAGTCAACTCATAGTTATTAGTTATCATAGCAAGATGAACAAATCCCGTGGGTTTTTTTTTTTTTTTAAAGAAGTTAATCTGATAATATTTAAATGTACTTTGAAAATTAACCACCATTAATTAAATGGTTTCTTTGTGGTAGGGCCTACCTTCTGCTTTCCTGGAAAGGATGGAATTACATCATTTGAACTTATTTTGAGTTTTTCTCTTATTTGCCTAATTTTGTTTTATAGCCTAAAATAAAAATGTCAACAGTTCTAGTCCTCACAGGGTGATGTTTCAGTTTGTACTGGTTGAGACTATTGTGGAGGGTTAGCTTGAGTTCAGGGATAGCTTTCCATAGTGAACAACTTTGGAAGAGATAATAGGCATGGGCTTTTTAAAAGGACTAACAGGTGATGTGTGGTACTTTTTTTTTTTTTTTAACAGGTTAAGTTCCATTTGTTTATTTCTGACACATAGTGTTCAAGAATGAGTAGTGTGACCTTCGGCCATGCTCCTGTTTACTGTGGGCGATTAGGAAGGGGTAGCACTGTTGATTTAACTACCTCACAGATATATTAAGACATATTGGGGTAATTTCTCACAAACTTTCCCAGTCTTAACTAAATCTCAAAAAAAAAAAAAAAAATCTGGTCTCTGTACCACAAGTGTGATGTTCAGCATTATATTCACACTAAATTTGGCTAATTAAACTGGAGAATTAAAGTAGATCTCGAAATTATTGTACAATTTAAAGACTGCCCTTTTTTTTACGTTTCCTCCCCCCACCCTCCCCTTTTTCAGGTGTTTCAAGTGACCACAGTTTAATGAATCCCAAAGTGATAAATACCTCAGGCTAATTACTGTTCATTTTGGGGAAGGAACTTGTTTTCACAGGGTATATTAATTGGATTGTACTTGGAGGACAGTATCATTCCTGCTGTTAATAAAATTTGTTTTACATTGAAGTTTTTTTTCTTTAGTGGAGAGATAATAGTTCTTTTTGTGAAATTTTAGTATTGCGGTCTTAGGGTATGAACACCTTTTTAACTACTGGAAGCCCTTAACCTGTTATATTTGCTTTATTTTGAAAATGGTTGGTTGCTTTCTATTAGATGGTTTGTGCTATTTTCAGTAATCATAGTTCATCTAAACACAGCTTATTTTCTTGACCATTGAAGTTTCTAACCTAAAGGTAGAAGAACCCCACCTTCTCAAGGAACTAGCACAGTCTTTCCCGCCCTCCCTTCCTTAGGAAGTAGCTGTTGCCAAAGTGATCGGGTAGTTGGTGGCTCTTGTATAATGGATGTGCTTTGTGGATGGACACTGGGGATCAGTGTTCATGATGACATTTGGTTGCTCCCCAAATGGTTCTACCCCATTCCAGAAGTTTGAAATGTGTAATTTGAAATCCTTAATAAAATTGGATCTACTTTTATAAAATACACTGGTGATATTTGAAGTTTTTACAACTAAACATAATTTCTTTGAAGATTGGAAAGCAGCTTTGGTGTGGCCTGTTCAATTCATTTCAGGCGAACCTTAGCCATGTAAGTTTTGGATGTAAAGAGCAGAAAGAAATACCATGTTTATTTCTTGTTATCTATGATCTTTTTCTTCTTTTTTTATCTTCCTGATTTTCAATCTCAATTCTTAAACTGTCCCAGTTATGTGGTGTCAAGATGTCTTCTTTATTTTCCCTCCAAGACATGATGGAAGCCCTGTATAGTTCTGTACAAACTTCATAGAAACTAATTTGGAAGCCCAATGATCTTCCAAATACGGTAGGTGGACAGGTAGTTTGGTTACTTGAGGTGTACTTGCAGCTTCCTAGATTGTCTGGAGCAATAGTAACTTCTGTCTGGGAATTTGGGGGAGTTGGGGACAGGAAAAATGATTCCTACCTACAAATTCACATAAGGAGATACCAGCTATGGCAGATTATTGGTTTATGCTTAGTTTAGGTGAGATGTGGGTGATTAAAAAGCCTTGAGGTTACTGAATTAAAAGTATATTACTGTTGGTAAGACTGGATTTGGGTTTGTTCCCATTAAAAACTGTTGATGAAACAACTTTTTGAAAACTGCTGTGCAGAAACCTAAAGTATTTGAGTGCTGTGATTTGAGGACTTAGGTTAAGATTGTAGTGCATTTTTACTGGTTAGTATAATAAAACTTTAGCCTTTATTTTTGACTTAAAATTAAACCAGATGTTGGTATATATTTGTGGAATATATAGTTCAGAAGCATAATTTATAAGGACTTTGGAAAACAAATATGTGCTGTCCATTTTTTTTTTGTTTTTTTTTTTTTTTAAACCTGCATTGTATGTTACGAACTCAACTTTGTTTTCTAACTGGCCACTTAAAATCACCACATTTCTAAAAGTAAATGTGTCTGGCAGTGGCAAAGTAATTCTGATATTATAACATGTTATATGTACTGATTTACAAATCCAGAGTTTTAAGTTAACCTGGATTAAAAACAAAACAAGTTCTTGGTCTAAGATTTATTACATACACATTTAGGAAAATGTAACTGTTGCTGTAGTAATTATTTTCATTTGAGATGGATAACTTTTCCTGATTTTTCTTGTATTGTGTTCATCTGCAAAAAGTAAGTTGTTGACAGATTCTTTAATATCAAAGGAGAAATTGGGCATAGCAGTGTGAAAAATTTACAGGAAGTAAGTCATTAATAGACTTTAAATTTCATGTAAAGCTCATGGTTAAGCTGCTTAAAATACAGGCAGTGCTTTCAAACAATGCTTTTAACAGAACTGAAAAGAAATTGGGGACCAATAATCAAGAATGCAAGTAACAGACTCAGCAGATTCATGGCCATGGGCTGATAAACTAGTTTCTCCCAGGATAAAAACTTGTGGCTGGGATTTTAAAGGTGCATCACATACTGTTACAGATGCTAGGGAATGCCCTAGACTCATACAGGAATTTGGGGAGGGCAAAAAGGAATAAGACAGAAGTGGTAAGATAGATGAGGATGTGGCTGCTCTAGACTGTCCTGAGCTTCACAAGGAGACTAAGCAAATAGACTGTAAATTCCAGCTTACAATGAGAATTTGAGATACTATAGGATTTGAATGAAGCTTTACCCCCGGCTTAGTAATAGATCCCTTTGACATTCTGTGCTCTCATTTACAAACAATCTTTGATTTTTTCCTGAAGTGCTTGACAGAAAGTTGAACATGATAGCTGTAATAGCTGGCTGTGTTTTTCCTAACATGAAAGTATTTTTATTACATATCTCAGGCTTGATTGGGAGTGCCTATGTTCTTGGGTTTTGTATGTTAGTTTCTAGGCTCCTTATAGGTCTCCCTGTTTTTGTTTTTTTTTTTTTTTTTTTTTTGGTTTGGTTTTTTTTGTTTTTTTGAAGTGATGGGGATGTTTTGCAGAATACCTGGCTTCACTTCCTCACTAGTGGCTTACATAACTCCTGTTCAAGTGAGATTCAGGAACCAGGCATACAGACACCCCTCATAAGCATAACATAAAAATGAAATGAAACACAACTCCAACTCAGGTGGTTGGTAAACTTGGGTTGACTTGAGGATTTTTAAAATGAAAGGGGAGCATTTTTGCTCCCCTCCCCCAATAAATAGTAGTTGACAGGGCATTTAGTTTGGTGCTTCTTTGGGGGGGTACTATGAAACTGGGAAAGTTTTTTTTTTTTTTTTAAAGTGGCACTCCTGGTAACAGGTGCTAAAATATGCAGTTATACCAGAGAGCTTTTTAAGTGGGTGACAAAATTAAACTTGGACTTTGTACCTATATTTAAGAAGAAAATGAAAGCTGGGTGTTTTCATTTAATCTCAATCTTTATGCAGAGGCAGGCAGATTTCTGAGTTTGAAGCCAGCATGGTCTATAGAGTGCATTCCAGAACACTACAGCTACACAGAATCCCTGTTTTGAAAACAAAAGACTGAACCACAGTATGCAGGATAGGGTAGTTCAAGCCTTATAGCTGGGAGTTCTCAGCCAGCCTGATGTACAAAGTGAGTTCCAGGAAAGCCAGGGCTACACTGAGAATCCTTGTCTTGCGGTGGGAGGGGGGTGGGAAATATATGTAGAGCCAGATTTCACCACAATTCAAAAGTTCTCAACACAAGAAAACTTCATATAGTTTTGCTTTGGTAGCTAATTATAAAGCTTGTTTTTAATTTAAATATTAGTGTTCTCAAAAGTCTTCTAGGTAACAGGTACTTTAAATGTGCACAGATGCTAATAGACTAACATAGCCAAAACCGTGGCACTGCTACTGAAAGTTTTTCATGGTTGCTACCCTTAATTTCAGCTAACTTTATTTGGTTTGGTAATAGCCAAAGATAAAAGGAAAATGGTGTCAATTTTCCTATTCCGTCTTCAGCCTGCTGTTGGTCTGGGCTCCTGGACCTTAAGCCTGTCTTAATGAGATGCCTGTGTGTCATGGTGGGGTGTGGATTTGGACTTCTATGTTTCCAGCATTATGGGGAGGTGGGTAGTTTAGGAACTGTTGGTATTAATTGGAAAAGAATTCACAATGACAGTTGATATTTAGGTTGAAGACTTTGGGGTAGCTAGTGAAATACAATCTATTAAACTTTGGGTATCTAGTGAAAATAACTACTGCTTTTATCTTTAGAGAAAGTTGTGTGGGCCTTACTGTAGATCAGGCTGGTCCACTCACATGTCTGTTTAACTGCCTGCCTCCAGGAATTCTGGAATTAAAAGGGCGGGCTTTGATTGGAGTAAGATTAGGAATTTATTAACTCAAAGCTCAGATGGAATTTAAGCTGCTTTGGAGAGACGGTGGGCCTTCAGTGTGGGTAGAGCTAACATTCCAGTTTCTATCAGTGGTCTCTTCTGGTCTGCAAATGCTCTAGTACTTATGGTACACCCACACCCCCTGCCCAAGGATACCCAAGAGGAGTGGAAACTAAAGGCCAGGTGCAGGGGTTGGATTAGAAATTGGAATGTCCCAGTGAGACATAGAGGGTGGTTAAAGGTCGTTTCAGTGCCTGGTGTGGGGAGGATCCTGGGCACTAGAGATGCTTGCTCTCTAGTGTCAGGCCAGCGTGATAAAAAAGGATGTGGGGAAAAGGTGGTGGGTCTACTGCTTGCTCTGGGGTGTTGGCTTGGAGCATTCCTTGAACCTTCAACTTTGTAGGTGCTATATAAGGTGAAATTGGAAGTAGGAAATGCTCAGCTGTGCTACACTGGTTGGTCACTAGGGGGCATCAGTTCACCAGCTAAGAGCAAAAAGCCTGAGAAGTAGATTTGAAAATTAACTTTCAGAAGTTAGAAATTTAAGAATTTTGAGGTGTTTTTAAATTAGGAAATAGCTGAGAAATGTGGATGGGGCAATTGTGTTTTAACACTGACAAAGGGTGGCACAGGTAGGGTGAGGCCAGCACCCTTAACCCCTAAGCCTTTGACTTTTTGTTTGCTTCCTTTTGTGGGGGTAAGGGGGTGTAAATCAGAGAGGGTCACTGTAGCTTTGGAGGCTGTCCTGGAATTCACTCTGTAGACTATCCTGGCCTTGAACTCAGAGATCCTCCTGTCTCCCCAGTGTACCACCACTGAGCTAGTCCTTTTTAATGGATCTTCAACCTTTTAGTTCCTTGCAGACTTTGGGATTCTGGTATATAAATGCCTCATACATAACATTGCTCAGAAAAATGACTTGGGTTCAGTGGGGCTCAATTTAGATGCACTTAAGAATAAGAGCCAGGCTTAAAGACACCACATGAATAGTGTGATATCTTTGATTCTTACTTTTTAGAAACCATCTTTAGCTAGCACCTTGAGCTCAGGACAATCTTGGTTTGGCCTTACAATTAATGCTGTTAGAGGTGTGCAGCACCTTGCTCTTTGAACCCAATGTTTCTGTTCCCTGTAACAACAGTTAAATCAACTCATCACTGTTCTGGAAGGTTGTACATACCATAGGAAACAGGAAACATTAAGCAAGTGTGCTGATTGCAGATTTAGAGTGACTAGGAAGGGTACATTGATACAGTAGTGAGCAAAGTAATTGGAAGACTCTTCTATTGAACACCTAACAATGAATAAAGGGGGATTTGCTCAGAGGATAGATGATGAGGGAGGGTCAGGATGGTGATGGGCAATAAACAGATTAAATGTGATAGCTAGGTGCATGCCAGGTATGCTCAGCACATTTGCAGTCTTTACAACACATTTAAAATACTTAAGGGAAATAACTGCCGTACACAGGAAACGAAAACGAGGTTTTGGAGTTAATGGCAGAACAGAACTTTGGAACAAACAGCACAACTGTAGCCCCTGTCATACCTTTGTCAACCACACTCGGCTTCAGGGACTCTGGATTATAGATTGGAAGTGTCCTTTACAGATAACAGGAGGGGGCCATTCTGCTAAAATGCTGAACAGATAGGTGTGGAGGAACTGTAATGCTCACTTGTTCTACAGAGACATACCCAGGTGGGGGTGGGTGTTCATTATTACAAATCTACTCCTAGATATACCCAGAGATATTGTCTGTGAAATTACACTAGAAATATTTATGCAGTTCTAATTCTTTATTGAAGAAATACTGAAATAAAAATAAAGTATCGAAAAGCCCTGAAATACAGGTAAATTTTAGGACTCAAGATTGGTTTGGAACTGTGGTTTGGAACTGGCTCGTTTGTCAGGCATTGCGCCTTTGAAGAAGGTTGGAATCTTATTAATACATTTCTGCTAAAAATTCAAGTAGAGTTTTAATTTCTTAGCATAGTACACAAAGAAAGGAGTACTTTATCTTCCACTTTCCGCTTGGATTCTTGATTTTTGCAATGTAGCAGCAGACCGACTATTATGACCCACCTTAAAGGGTACTTCCCCAAACCAGAGGGTAGATCCCTCTGCCTTTTATTCTGCCTTACCAGGAAATAGCGTCAGATTCCAGTAGTGTTTGTACGACACCGGCCACTGCCTATGTGTGCTGTAATAATGGCACCTACTGTTGTCAAGGGCAAGGTGTGACCCTGGAGGAAGCTCAAGGGACCAGAGAGATGGATGGGGTAGTTCCTGCTGTTAAGGACACTGGTTCAATTCCCAGAACCCACATGGCTTACAACCTAAATTCCAGCACCAAGGGATATGCTGACTTTTTTGACTTGCGTCCACATACATGCACATGCACGCACGCATGCATAACAGAAGAAACAGCTTGGGGACAAGGGGGGTGGATCTGATAATTGCCTGTGCCCAGGGATGGGATAATAACACCTGGAGTGAGTCCACCTTTTCCCTGCCACATCAAGCCGGTACCGTTAAAGCACGAAGCACTTGGGCTTTGTTCTGAGGTGTTTTCATAGCATCGGGAAGTCATGCCACGGAACCCGCCAAGGGAGGGCGGGCTGTGGGGATGGCCTTTCGGCTACCGACCGCGTGGAGCCTGCCGCCGGGCGTTTCCGGAGCTCAGAGTCGGCGCGCAAGGGCGGGGCGTGGATGGCGGGGGCGTGTCTTCGGCGGGCTCTGGGAAGGCCCCAAGTTAATGAGGCGGGCGCCGGCCGCCGAGCGCCTCTCGGAGCTGGGTTTTCCCCCGCGGCGCGGGCGCCAGGAGCCGCCTTTTCCGCTGGGTGTCACTCGGGGGTGGGGAGGGCGGCCCATTGAAAAGCGCCGCGAGGGGGCCCGGCCAGTGCCCTTCGGTGAGCGCTCGCGGGAGGACGGAGGAGAGCAGCCTGCTGGCGGCTCCGGGATCTTGTGGCGCATCAGGACGCGGCTGTCCCTCTGCCGGGATCCCGAGCCACCGCCACCGCCACCGCGGCTCTGCCTCCTACGAGTCAGCTTCTTCTGTGCTCTCCGGGCAGCCGGCCGCAGAAGCCGCTGGGGTGAGGACGGCGCGCGGCTGCTGCTGCTGCCCCCAGCCCGGGCGTCTGGAAGCCGAAAGGTCGAGCCGAGCAGCAGCACCCCTTATGCCGGAAGGATGTTGGAGAGCAGCGGCTGCAAGGCGCTGAAGGAAGGAGTGCTGGAGAAGCGCAGCGACGGGCTGCTGCAGCTCTGGAAGAAAAAGTGCTGCATCCTCACCGAGGAAGGGCTGCTGCTCATCCCTCCCAAGCAGCTGCAGCAGCAGCAGCAGCAGCAGCAGCCCGGGCAGGGGACAGCTGAGCCGTCCCAACCTAGTGGGACCACCGTCGCCGGGCTTGAGCCACCAGTCAAGCTCAAGGAATTGCACTTTTCCAATATGAAGACTGTAGACTGCGTGGAACGCAAGGGCAAGTACATGTACTTCACTGTGGTGATGGCGGAGGGCAAAGAGATCGACTTTCGGTGCCCCCAGGACCAGGGCTGGAATGCGGAGATCACGTTGCAAATGGTGCAGTACAAAAATCGTCAGGCCATACTGGCAGTCAAGTCTACACGGCAGAAGCAGCAGCACCTGGTCCAGCAGCAGCCTCCGCAGACACAGCAGATCCAGCCCCAGCCGCAGATCCAGCTTCAGCCGCAGATGCAGCCTCAACCGCAGCCCAAGCCCCAGCCCCAACAGCTCCACTCCTACCCGCATCAGCACCCGCACCCTCACCCTCATCCTCACCCGCATCCGCACCAGCACCCACATCCACACCAACTCCAGCACGCGCACCAGCCTCCTCACTCGATGCCGCACAGCCACCGACTTCTCCGCAGCACCTCCAACTCTGCCTGAAGAGGGCGGCACCCAGGGCCACTCAAGGTAAGGTCCTGGCAACTTGGGACACTTAGGAACGTGTCAGCGTGATTGCTGGGGATCTTAGACAGCTTTTCCAACGGTTACACTCTCGAGGCAAAATGAAAAATCCTTGCAAGTTTCTAGAAAAGTGACAAGAAGATAGGCAAGCTGGAGCTAGAGTAGGCCAAGCCGGGAGGGAAGGCCAGGGAGTTGGGCATGGTGGGTGGACCACCTTCCCACCACCATAATCGCCCCTGGTCAGTGCCCTGTACCCTCGTACTACTCCACCGTGTGTCTCTGCACCAAGGTGAAGACCTGGGGTCTTTCTGGACACTCTATCCTTTAGACTGGCAGGGAGGGAACTGGGTCATGACTTCTGAGCCACCCATTTCATTCCGTGTCATTTCTTTACAGGGTTCGAGGACTTCGGGAAGTTGGACAGTTAGTTGCATTGCTATTGTGTTCACTTGGATCAAAAAAAAAACAACAGTCTCCCCATCCCGTGCAAGCTCAAGTAGTTTGGAGATCTCCGGACTTGCAGTTCCTCTTAGTTTTCTGCATAATCTTCATCACCGTGCAGGAAGCGATTTTTGAGTCAAGATGACTTTATTTATGAACCTTTGAAAGGATCGCCTAACGTAATGGACCTTGTAGGAGCAATTTATGTACTGTAATTTTATTTTAATGTATTTTGGTTTATGATTATTTATTAGTTTTTTTATGCCTATTCTAAGACATTTCTGAATGTAGGCCATCACCCATCACCCCACCCACCCCTGCCATGAAACTTTATTTTCAAAAACCTATTTCCTGGTAAGCCCTAGTCTTGGAAAAGAAAAAAAAAGAGTGGTAGAGGGAGCAAACACTAAAAATCGACTCCTTATCCTTAGGGCGTTCTCAGAAAGTCGACTCTTTCATTGTATTTGAAAAGGTTGAAATTAAATTCTGACATTACTTTTACTTGTTTAGGTGTCTTTTATAGATGTGTAGTTTTTTTTTTTTTCTAAGCTAAAAGGTCATAATGTATAATTATGAAAACCTGATGGTCAACACCATGCTTTTCTACAAAGAAATCATTAGGAATGAAACTGGATTTCAAAATACTACCCAGCCGAGGGCATAGCAACTGGTTTGAGAGTGTGGTTGGCTTGATAATGTGGTAAATTTAATCTATTAAGGGAGAGAACTGTAGCAACTATGTAAAAAGTTTAATGAATCTTTATGGAACTGAGAGCTGGGCTCAAGTGGTAGAGTGTCAGACCTCTGGGATTCAATCCTAGCACCAAAAAAAGTAATATTGATTGTAACTATTAATGCACACATGCTTTCATTTAAAAAATGTAGGGGGTACCACACTTAACTGGAGGATATTTCTACCCCTGCTCACCATACCTTTCACCAAGAGCTCTGCATACTTAGCCTGGACCTCTCATTTTCTTAGCCTTTTACCCTATCATGAACATACTCTGAAAATAATTTGTGAATATACCAAAGAACTAGGAGTCATAACATTTCTCATCCTGAAAATAACCCTGAGCAGAAAAATCAACTATTTTCTCTTTATGGTTCTGGAGAAATCCAGATGTTCCATGTTTTGGTTGGATTGCTAAATTCCCAGGCAAGAAGGGAGGCCTGGAGACTTCTGTTCTAGGTTGGATGGTTCTCAACCTGTGCATCGTGACCCCTTGGGGTTGACAGGCCTTTTTGCAGGGGTGGCATACCAGATATCCTTTTTATCAGGTGTTTGCATTATCAGTCACAACAGCAGCAAAATTAGAGTAATGAAGCAGCAATGAAAATCATAATTTTTGGTTGGGGGTGATCATTACAACACGAACTGTTAAAGGGACACAGCACTAGGAAGCTTGAGAACTACAGCTTCTAGATTTGTCAGTAAGAAAACAAACTCTTTTTTTCACGGCCCCTCATTTAGGGTGCTGAGGGGGTGAAGGGTTAGGGTGTGCTTTTAAAGGTAGAACAAACCCTCCTCTATGTAAAATCAAAGGGATGGGCAAGAGTTACAAAAGCAGACACTGCTTCAGTGGAGAAGGCGCCTCGGATAATACCAAAGTCTCTTGGGGCTGAAAATCACTTCCTAGCTGTCCAGCTTTGCTAACTGGTCTCTTGCCCTGACCTTTTCACAGTGCCATCTTGGTCAGTATTTTTCCAGCATCCACATTGGAATGCTGGTTTTCAGAACTCAGAACAGAAAGCAGATTTGGTGAGGTGAATGCTTGGATCTGGAAGTCATAATGTAGTTGAAAAGTTGCAGTTGAGAGTGGGAAAATTATAGCTCCAAGCAGGAAAACCTGACTGAGTCCCTACTTTCAAGGCTGTCTAATTTGTAATTGTGAAAATATCCTGCCAGCGGTTTAAAGCACACTGTGTATGTAGGACGACAGCCCTGAGAGCCTGTCTATCTTGACATATTCCTCAGGTTTGTTGGCTTCCTTGGAGCTAATTCCGTGTTTCAGTTAGCATGCCCCCAGGTAGTATTGTAGTTTATACATGCAGATCACATAACCCTGACTAACCCATAGCTCTTTCCAGCTGCTCTGTTTCCTTCTAAATTATGTATCATCAGCATAGTAAAGCCTGTGCCAAATGAGGTGAAAATTAAGATTGTTGTAGGTTTTTTTTTTTAAGACATGTCTATTGTTGGATTACATATGTAGAACTAGGTCATCTCATTGAAAAACCAAAAACAAGAAAACATGCCTAGGCCCAGTCTTGGTTACTACAATATTTTCTTTCTTACAATAGCCATGACTCTTAATATAGGATCAACAGAACTGTGGCCTCTTGTATCTGCAATGACATATTAAACTGACCCTCTCCAAAGGTTTATCTTGACATTAAACTGTGAAATCTCAGAGATTGGTAAAATAAGTTTCTTTAAATGGGTTTTGTTTTATGTTTCAAAAAAGGAAGGATTCCTCTGTGTAGCCCTGGTTGTCCTGGAACTCCCTCTGTAGATCAGGCCGGCTTCAAACTCATAGAGGTCTGTTTGCCTCTGCCTCCTGAGTGCTGGACAAAAGGCGTGCACCACCATATCCGGTTTCTGTAAACTGTTTTAATACTCTGAAATTAGACACCACCACCCCCAGCCCTCCACCCCCGGGAGAGGGGTGTGTGGGACCAAGCATGCTCAACAAAACAAAATACAAGTGCACTTGATGGCTTCATTCTACCTGTAAGAAAATGACACAAACCACCTGAGGCACTGGGAAACCTGCCTGGCAGGTCCAGTTTAAAAAGATATCCAATGTCTTTAATCCCAGCACTCGGACAGCAGAGGCAGGTGGATCTCAGTGAGTTTGGGGCCAGCCTGATCTATAAAGGGAGTTCCAGAACAGGCTTCAAAGCTACACAAAGAAACCTTGTTTTGAAGAAATGAAAAAATATACCCACCCTAGAAACAAACATGAAATATAAAAACTTGAAAAGGAGTGTCCCATCTGGAAATTGAACTTTTGTCCTTGAATGTGTGTTGGCAGCCAACCTCCCACACAGCTCAATGACTCAAGTGGAAGGAAGGATGGGTGAAGAAAGCCTCAGCACCCAGGAGACAATCTCTCCTGCTTCACTAAGACATTCAGGGGACAGGCTGGGTGCCATGACATTCCTTAGTTGTACGTTCTCAGTAGAAATCCATTTGGATCTGCTGTGTCCTGAAGTCAGAGAATAAATGTGTGTGAGGTCCTTTCAGAACACCCAACTTTATCAAACAAGAGCTCCCTAATCCTGGACGGATCAGACCGGCTTTCTTGCTTGAGTTTGTATACTTTTTTCCATGATGGTTAAAAAGACAGCAGTGCATGTTAAAGGAGTTTCCTCTTGCTGTAAATAATGTCAGCAAGACTGGCTGAGATTGAAAGGCCTTGTCTGTGTTAGTTCTTTCTCTTTCTAAGTCCTAATTTTAAATCTGATACAGAGTAAGTACGGTCAGCCTGTGTTTCAAATGCATTGTTTGTTTCTGTCCACAGGGAAGGGAATGTGATTTATCAGGGGAAGGTGTTAACATATCATATTTAGGGCAGGGTTGGACGGATCTTGAGATTTGAATGGACATAGAGTGATTCCACCGCTGATAGTGATGTGTGGGATGAAGTAGCCTGTGAGCATTGGTTTATTTCTTTTCCTGTAACTGTTAAGACACCTGGGTTTTGCTTAATGAATAAATACCCCCAGCAGGATAAATTTTAAATGGGGTATTAGAGATGGAGATCAGTGGTTCTCAACCCAATGACCCTTTCACAGGGGTCACCTAAGACCATTGGAAAACACAGAGATTTACATTATGATTTGTAACAGTAGCAAAATTACAGTTATGAAGTAGCAACAAAAATAATTTTGAGTTTGCGGGGTCAGTGAAGAACTATATGAAAGGGTTGCAGCATTAGGAAAGTTGAGAACCACTGTTCTATATATTGAGACTGGAGACTCACATAGCCCAGAATTTCTGGACCTTTGTTTTCACTTCTGGGGTGCTGGGATCACAGGTGTGCACCAGTACATTTATTTTATTCAGTGCTGGAGAGCTAGCACAGGGCATTGTACATGCCAGGCAAGCACTTTCCCAACTGAGCTACACACACAGCTCTAATTTTTAAATTCTTGACCTAGTTCTGAAAAGTGACGTGTGTGTGTGTGTGTGTGTGTGTGTGTGTGTGTGTGTTTATTCTGCAGTTTGAATAAGCAACCAATGCACAAGATTGGGTGCCAAAGATATCTGAGACTTTGTCAGCAACTTATTCACCAAAGAGAAAAGAGGGCATTCTTAGGCCTGGGAGTGTAAGTGTAGTGGTAGACTATTTTGGACTGGCATTTATAAAGCCCTAGGTTTGATTACTTTAACAGGAATTTTTCTGTAGAGGAGCAAGGGTCTCGTCTTTAGACACATCCTCTTTAGTGCTCAGAATCCAGCCAGCTAGTAACTGGCTAGGCAGTGGGGAAGCAGTTGTTTTTTTTTTTTTTTTTTTTTTTTTTGGTCTTGTTTTAAAAGAAGTAACTCTACTGATGGTTACCTTTCTGTGGTCAGCCTTGTAATTCAAGTTTTGAGAACATGGAAGTGCCAGCTTCCCTAAAGCAATCACCACTTTGTTGTACCAACTGGGTTGTGAACCTGCGAACATGGTCAGAATTTCTGTGAGTGTGTAGAGAGGAGTTATTTTTCATGCTTTGCAAATGCTTTCCCTTTCAAATAAAGTATCTTTTGAGATGACTTACTCGTGTGACTTAATGCCTGGCATGTACACTCTTGTGTGACAGAGGTTCCAAAGAGCTTGGCTTATAAAAGCCATGGCTATTCTAGAGGTATCTTTGAGGTTAAGATTAGATACATTTTTTTTTAAAGATGGAGAAATTTGAATCTAGAAATTTATCATTTGGTGAAATAATTAGCTTTCCAAATGCTAATTAGGTTTTGGGGCTTTTACCCTGGCCTTGCTAGCCCACTCCAGTTCCTGGAGCTGTGTTCTTTCTCAATAAACTGTATCTCTACTTCTAAAGAGGAGGAGGTATGGAGGAAAATGCTAATGAATTTGAGCTGAATTATCTTTTCCTCAGATAATTCCCCTGGCACCTAGGGAATTATCTCAAAAGTAATTTTTGTTTTTGAGCCTTTTGTTTCTGGGAAGAATAAAGCTTTGACTAGGGAGTCATCCTTCAAATAGGTACCTCCAAAAGCATCCTATTTGGGGTTGAGAGCCAAAGGCCTCCCATCTCCATTGGCATCTAAATGCTTTTAAATACCAAAAACCTTTAAAGTAGATCTCCAAAGGCATTTTTAAACTCCCTTAGTCTAATCTTACCATTGGCAGCTTTTTCTACTGCTTTTTAAATACTTGAATCAGAAGGTACATAGAGGAGGAACCTGAAGGCTACTTGAAATAGATGTATACATGTTATCAAACAGCGTTGCTATGAGGCATGGATTCAAGCCTTAGTTCCACCATTTA